CCAGCTTCACCCGTAATCAAAGAAATGAAATGGAAGCAAGCGTGAGATAATCACTATCCCCTATCAGATTGGCAACAATCAAAAGAGTGAAAATTCCCCAGTTTGGTGGCGAGGGAGTGAGGAAATAGGCTCTCCTATTTTATATGTGGGCATATAAACAGAAAGCACCCATTCTGGAGGGTGATCTGGAAATGTAGAGCAGAAACTATTAAATGTACCACTTGTCCCAGTGGTTTCTCTTACCAGAATGAATCCAAAGACAGTTATGTTATGATTTATGTACAAGGAGAGTCATAAAATTACTTTTAAGAAAAGAACACTTTTTGGGAAAGGGGGTGGTGTTCAGTTTGGGGACAGAAGTCTCAACACCATGCAGGGCCCCGTGGAGCTCCTGGGCACAAGGCCTTTCTGTGTCCCCCATTTCTTTTCTCTTTTTAAAATAATTTTGCTTGTGTACTTATTTTTAGGAAACAGCCTTCATTCAGCCTCTATGACCTTCCCTAAATTCCAATGGGCAGATTCAAGCCCTTGTTAATTAGAGAAGGGAGGGGATGTGAGACCAGGGAGGAATAAACAGTCAAGAGCAGCCTTGGAGCAAGGGCCCATTTCCTTATCAATGTATACACACAATAATATCTTTGAGCTATTTTGCAGATACCGAAACCCCCTCCAGGTGGAAGAAGTTAATGATTAATGATGGTATGCTGTTCACAAGCATGCAGACCCCAGAGCAGCTGACCTGAAGGTTGACAATACGGACTCCTACTTACCTCACCACCAACCCATTGGAAGAATGTCCATGAGTTCATCACCCTCTTTGAACAATTACTAGAAAACTTCTCACTGTCTTCCCCAAGTTGGGACATGTGGTTTTGAAGGCATGAGCCTGCTGTGTCCCCCTTTGCCTGGCTAAGCAATATAGCTATTTTTTTCTACTTCACCCAAAACTCTGTCTCCGAGATTTGATTTAGCACTGGTGTACACAGAAACTGAGCTTTTGGTATCAGTCTCGGAGGCCTAAGAAGGGTAACATACAGCTATTATCAAATACTTGACTCTATAAAGAGGAGGTGTTAGGGTCTGTGTAGCTCAAGGCCAGACCAGGACTTATAAGAGGTAATATATATACGTGATACATGTGCTTAGCCGCTAAGTCGTGTTCAACTCTTTGGGACTCCAGGGACTGTAGCCCACCAGGCTCCTCTGTCCATGAGATTTTCCAGGCAAGGATATTTGAGTAGGTTGCCATTCCCTTCTCCAGGGGATCTTCCTAACCCAGGGATCAAACCCAGGTATCCCACATTGCAGGCAGATTCTTTACCATCTGAGACACCAGGGAAGCAGCAAAGCAGATTCCAAAGTTCGTTTGGCCCCCAGTTAGGACGGGCTGTCCTGTAGATTCCCAGTCACTGGCAGATGGCCCCTTGTCCAGGCTGTCAAAGTGGGTAGTTATTGCTCCTTAGCCCCTGAGCTGAAATGCTCATCTTGTTCCCCTCCAATGCAAAGAAGCAACGAACTTTGCTGCATGAAGTCATCAGAGGGTAGACTCACCACTCTCCACTCACCAAGGTGGGAGGGAGATGACACCGGGTTTCACTTCCTGATACGAATTCTAGGAATGAACTGAGAACCCTCTATCCCCACCATTACTGAGAGTCTGTGGGAGATGACCACCCCCTTTATCCCAAGTCTTTTAGGACTACCTGACTGTGAATCCATTTTGCCAAAGGTAAAGCCTAAGGGAAGCTTTTAGCTGGGCCTGAAAAAAATAAAGATGAGTGCTCCCTCTCACCAAATCATTTCCACTGTATTTTGGCTTCCAGGGGTAAGTGTTCATCTGCTCTATCTACACATTTTCTCTTTTGTGTTACTTTCATCTAAAACTTTCCATTTCAATCACAAATCACATCTGTCTAAGCTATGTTGTATCCAACGCCCCCGAATGTGGAGACTGGTTTCTTTTGGATGCTTCTCCTTACTATGCTTGTGTGTTTATCATTTCAGTTTGTTAAGCCTGTGTCTGGTCTCTTTTTCGGCTCTCTATCAACTGTGTCGGGGGGCACTATTAAAAATACTCATATTTGGGGTTTCCCTGGTGGCTCAGTGGTAAAGAATCTGCCTGCCAATGCAGGAGACAGAGTTCGATTGCTGATCTGGGAAGACCTCACATGCAGCGGAGCAACTAACCCCAAGCACAACTCCTGAGGCCACGTGCTGCAACTACGGAAGCCCGTACACCTAGAGCCTATGCTCTTCAACAAGCGAAGTCACCCCAGTGAGAAGCCCGTGCACTGCAATTAGAGAGTAGCCCCTGCCTGCCTCAGCTAGAGAATAGCCCCCACTCACTGCAACAAGAGAGTAGCCCATGCAGCAACGAAGACCCAGCACAGACAAAAATAAAATAAGTAAATACAATTATTTTTAAAAATACTCATAATCCTTCATTGAGCCCTTGAATGAGACACTCATCATGTAATCTATCAGATAATCCTCACCAGCCCACAACCTTGGAGCTGGGGACAGCCTCTCTCCACTCATTGTGCTCAGAGGAATCTTTTCATAAGACAACACTTATCACATCACTAATCACAGGCCTAGGTGGCTTCCAGGGTCCTGCTGCCCCCAAACCCCAGTGTATCTCCTACCAAGACCCCTCACTCCAAGCTCAAGCTACATGGACCTATCGTCTCTTCCAAGTTGTCATACTCTTTCCAGTCATGGAATTTCTGTGTATATTCTTCCCTATCCCTGGGGTTGCCCTTGTCCCATCTCTCCTTCCTATGCATCATTTGGGCCTTAATTAATGTTATTTCCAGCCCTCAGCACCTCAGAATATGACTGCTTTTGGAGACAGAGCCTCTAATGAGTTAAGTATGTTAAAATGAGAAAATTAATGTGGGCCCTAATCCGATCTGGCTGCTGTCTTCATGAGAAGAGATTAGGACATCTGGAGAGAAGCCGTGGTTGCAAGTGCACAGAAGAAAGGCCTTGTGGGACTTCCCTGGTGGTCTAGTGGTTAAGACTCCACACTTCCACCACAAGGGGCATGGGTTCAATCCCTCTTCTGGGAACTAAGATCCCACATACTGTGCAGTATGGACAACTTTTTTTTTTTTAAAGCCATGTGAGGATGCAGGGAGAAGGTGTCAGCCTGTAAGCCAAGGAAAGAGGCCTCAGGGGGAACCAAACTTGCTTGCACCTTGATCTTGGACTTCCAGCCTCCAGGACTGTAAGAAAATAACTGTCTGTTGCTGAAGCCACCTGGCCTGCAGTATTCTGTTGCAGCAGCCCAAGCTGACTAATACTATTAAGGAGTCACTCCCTCAGAGAGATTCCCCACCAACACTCCCCATTTCAGCACTATATTGTTTCTCCTCTGTCATGCACATCACAGTTTGCAATTAGTCACTTATTTGGAAGACTACCTGGATGTCGTCTGTATCCCATCCTCAGGATCCAGACACCCGGACAGGAGGAAATGTGTGTTTAGGTTCTCCACAGAGTCTCCAGCAACTAGCAAGCATGGTGCTTGCTGGTCACGTGGGGGTGAGGTGTTCCCTGTTGCTGAATGAAAGTCTGAAATATTATTTCACTGACATTAAGAATGAATGCCATGAAGCCCAGTGGAAGTGTGGGATTCTGTAACTCAAAATCAGAGGTTAGAGAATGCTGTTCTTTTCTCCATCTCTCCCTCTCTCTCTCTTTCCCATGCCTTGAAGCATGTGGGATCTTAGTTCCCAAACTAGAGATTGAACCCACTCCCCCTGCATTGGAAGCACAAAGTCTTAACCACTGGACTCCCAGGGAAGTCTGAGAATGCCTATCTGCATAAGGATTGTTTGAGTCAAGCCTTGATGGAGGTGAGAGAGGGAGACTTGGGGCTATTTGAGGACAAGTTCCAAGCAGAGGTAAAAGCAAGTTCAGTGTCCTGGAGGCAGATGGAAGCCTGGCAAAATGACCTATATGGCTGGAGTAAAGGAAGTAAGTGAGTGGAAATTAGGAGAAGGGCTCAGAAAGCTTCCAGGGGCCAGGTGATGGAGGACATTTGTGTGTGTGTGTTCAGTTGCTCAGTTGTGTCTGACTCCGTGTGACCCCATGGACTGTAGCCCACTATGTTTCTTCTGTCTATGGGATTAACCAAGCAAAAATACTGGGTTGCCTTTTCCTCCTCCAGGGGATCCCCCTGATCCAGGGATCAAACCTGTGTCTCCTGGGTTGACAGGAGGATTCTTTACCACTGAACCACCAGGGAAGCCCCGGAGGACATTTGTAGCCATGGTCAAACTCTGGCTTCTACTTGAGTGAGAAAGAAGTCTTTGGAAGGTTTTGCACAAAAGAAGCCATGTGGTATGACTTTGAACAGAATTACTCAGGCTGTTTTCATGTGAAACATAGATTGAGAAAGAAATGGGTAATGGTAGAGTCTGGAAGAACAGTTTGGAGGCCATTACAATAACCCATAATTTATGAGACGTGAGGGGCTGGGTCTAAGATGGTGTAAGTGGAGGTAGGATTCTAGGTATATTTTTAAGAAAAAAATGTTTCTCAAAAATTTGTTGACAGATTGGATGTAGGATGAAGAATACAAGGTTTGGAGTCTGAGAGCTCAAAGGTTGGGTGTTCCATTCTCTGAGAGAAGGAAGGGCATGGGGAGCACATTTTGGTGGAGAGGCTCAGGAGTTCTGCTCCAACAGGATGAGTTTGAGCAGCTGACTGGAACTCAAGTTTTGATTCCAAATAGATAGTTGTATATTTAAGTCCTGGGGTTCAGGGGAGAGGCTCTTATCAGCATATAGTTGGTCTCTAAGGTCATGAAACTACATGAGATCACCAAGGTATAGTAAGTGGAAAGAAAGAAATTCAAGGAGCCAGTACTCTGGGCACTGCAACACTGAAAGTTCTGTGGAATGAGGAAGAACTAACAATTGAGACTGAGAAGTAGTGTAACTGAAAGTGGGGTTTGGCTGCTCACTTCTCAAAAGCCATTAAAGAGGCCAGGCTGGTGGAAAGGGGCATTTCCTTTATTTTGGATGCCAGCAACCAAAGGGAGAGTGGACACCTGTCCAAAGGCCAACTCCCTTGCCACTGACAGTCAGTGGGCAAGAGCTTTTAGAGGCTGAGGGAGGGGGCTACATACAGAAACAGAACTATCAGCTGACAGTCACCTTGAAACTGGTCATCAGTGGTCTGACCAGCGTCATCTCGATAGTTTTAAGTACAGTTAATATTCAGCTCCAGGGTTAGTTTGTTTCCATTTCTGGCATCCAGTTCTTGGAATTCTGGTGGCTTATGTCATGGGTAAAGTCTGGTCATGATGTAGTTAACTTCTTCCACCTGGGGTTTCAGTGTCTATAAGACAGCTGACAAGATATGGCTCAGAATATTATCTATAGCCCTTGAGAAGGAACTGAGAAGGAACTCTGCTTAATGGTATATTATTATTTACTTTCCTTTGACTGTTTTTCTTTGTTTCTGAGTTTCTTCACTTCTCTGATTAAACTTATTCTTTGGCTAAAGTTTGTTTTTTTTTTCCCCACAGACAAAAGGCAGGCAGAGGATGTGGGGTACAAGGACCATAGGGTCCTGTTCAGTTTCAGTAGGAAGAAGAAAACCGAGAGTGGGCAGTCCTGCAAGTCAAGTGAAGAAAGTGTTTCTTGGAGGTGAAGTGATAAACTGTTTCAAATGTTGCTGACAGAGCAGGTGAGAAGACAACAGGAAGAAACTGTGCAGGTAAAGGATTCAATAAAGAGGGGGAGAGGGGGCCACTGGGACTACAAACACTCTTTCAAGGAGCTTTGATATCTGGAGAAAGGTAGAGAACAGCGGTGTGAGTCCCAGGGAGAAAGGAATCAGAGTTTCTTAGGAAAAAATATTTTCATGCTTATGGGAAATTGAGGCTCAAAACGGTTAGGTTACAGCCCAGAACGAAGTCGTCTGGTCCAGATTCTTCTTCCTATCCCTACACTGCCTAAGTGATAAATTTAAGCCTTATTGGGGTCTCTCTGCCCGGCCCACAATAGGATCTAGGGCAGTTTGAATTTTTACTTTACTTGGATCAGAGGTACAACCGAAATTTACTACCTTAAGTCAAGAAACCCCTCAAATTAAATTTTAGGCTCTGACTCTAATTTTGGGGGGTTCCTGGAAGTCGCGGGGCGAACTTCGAGAAGGCGTCGGAGTTGCCAGGGGAACCCATGCACACAGAGACCTACAGCGCCGCCCGCAAGCTTTCGGAAACCTTACCAACATTAGCTGATCGGCTCTCCTCCAATCTCTTATCGGGGACCGGGCTCAACGCCCGGTCTCCACAGCAACGCCTTTGTCTGAGCCCAGGACTTGGGTACCGTGGGAGGCGCGCTCGGATGACGTCATGCACCCCCGGCACTTGCGTGACATCAATTCCAGAGCAGAAGGGGGCTCAGCCTGCCCGCAGGTATGAAAATGAGTAAGGCCTCGGACACTGCGCACGTGTCATTTTAGGTTGGCGCCTGTATAGTTCTTAAACACCAAGTTGTGAGCGAGCAGTCTTAAAGTCTGCGTGCCTGCGCTGCTGTGCCTTTAATTTTAGCCAGAGAAACCATCAGAGATTTGCTTCAGTTCCTTCTGGCTTTCTAAGGGCCTAAGGGCAGATACCTGGGAATCGGACAGTTTGTCTCTCCTGTCTCTTACCGCTCCTGGTGGTGGTACTGCTAAATCGCTTCAGTCGTGTCCGACTCTGTGCGACCCCACAGAGGGCAGCCCACCAGGCTCCCCCGTACCTAGGATTCTTCAGGCACACGCTGGTGTGTGTGTGTGTGTGTGAGTCGTTCAGTCGTGTCTGACTTTTTGGGATTCTTCAGGCACACACTGGGTGTGTGTGTGTGTGTGTGTTAGTCGTTCAGTTGTGTCTGACTCTTTGGGATTCTTCAGGCACACACTGTGTGTGTGTGTGTGTGTGTTAGTCGTTCAGTTGTGTCTGACTCTTTGGGATTCTTCAGGCACACACTGGGTGTGTGTGTGTGTGTGTTAGTCGTTCAGTCGTGTCTGACTCTTTGGGATTCTTCAGGCACACACTGGGGGTGTGTGTGTGTGTTAGGGGGGGTGTGACTCTGGGATTCTTCAGACACACACTGGGTGTGTGTGTGTGTGTGTGTGTGTGTTAGTCGTTCAGTCGTGTCTGACTCTTTGGGATTCTTCAGGCACACACTGTGTGTGTGTGTGTGTGTGTGTGTGTGTGTGTGTGTGTGTGTTAGGGGGGTGTGACTCTGGGATTCTTCAGGCACACACTGGGGGTGTGTGTGTGTGTGTGTGTGTTAGTCGTTCAGTCGTGTCTGACTCTTTGGGATTCTTCAGGCACACACTGGGGGTGTGTGTGTGTGTGTGTGTTAGGGGGGTGTGACTCTGGGATTCTTCAGGCACACACTGGGTGTGTGTGTGTGTGTGTGTGTTAGGTGTGTGTGTATGTGTGTGTGTGTTAGTCGTTCAGTCGTGTCTGACTCTTTGTGACCCCATGGACTGTAGCCCACCAGCCTCCTTTGTCCATGGGATTCTCCAGGTAAGAACACTGGAGTGGGTTGCCATTTCCTTCTCCAATGCATGAAAGTGAAAAGTGAAAGTGAAGTCATTCAGCCGTGTCCCTGGTGCATTGCATCCTTAATGCCACCTACTAGTCTTGAAAATTCTAGTTGAATTCCCAGATTGTGTTGCCAGCAAGTTTCCTCTAGCAGACCATCTCCTTTCTAAGCCAGTGCTTGGTAAGGTCAGCAAGCAGACTTTTTAACACTTGTTCAGTCACTCAGTTATGTCTGACTCTTCTTGACCCTTCAGACTGCAGCAAGCCAGGCTTCCCTGTCCTTCTCCATCTCCCAGAGTTTGCTCAAACTCATGTCTATTGAGTCAGCGATGCCATCCAACCACCTCATCCTCTGTCACCGCCTTCTCCTCCTGCCCTCAGTCTTTCCCAGCATCAAGGTGGCTAAAGTGTTGGAGCTTCAGCATCAGTCTTTCCAGTGAATATTCAGGGTGGATTTCCTTTAGGATTGACAGATTTGATCTCCTTGCTGTCCAAGGGACTCTCAAGAGTCTTCTCCAGCACCACAATTTGAAAGCATCCATTTTTTGGTGCCCAGCCTTCTTTGGAAATAGGTAAAGTAAGGATAAGCCAACTCTGACTGAGAGCCTGAAAAGTTCTCTTGAGTTAAGTATTTGAACTTTTAAGGATTTGTGACTTCTGTTGACAGCTTGTGGTTCCTTCTACCTTCTTTCAGATTTTTAGCCAAGCAGTTGACTCAGCTAGGTAAATGACCTCCAGGTAAATGAAATGTCACTGTTCAGGAACTTTGGAAGCACCCAGGGGCGCTGAGCCCCAGGGGATACAGTGATGATGACAGCGCTTGCCATGAGGTATAGCTCATTTCATTGACTCATTCCAGAAACATGAATTTCAGCACCAGTTGTGTGCTGGGCATGATTACTGTTCATTGAAGAATGAAGTGAGATCTAGGAGATACGGTGCAGCCAGGAGTCAGACTTGATTGAAACTTGGCCCTGCTCCTGACTTGCTGAATGATCCGGGGGTGAGTTATGAACCCCCTCTGCATCTCAATTTTATAATTTGTAAAAATGAGCATAATCCTACCTCCTAAAGACAACCGGCCTATGAGACAAACCTCATGGTATGATTTGGCTGAGGGAGCTTTTCTTTGCCCCTTTATGTTTATACCCCGAAACTTCTTTATGTTTCTCCCCTTCTCAGTGCCTGTCTTTTCAGGCCTTACACGTAGGACAACACCACTAATGGGAAAACAGCCCCCTGACCAGCACACAGCCTCAGAGGTCATCCACAGATTCTGCTCAAGTTATTTCAGAGACAGCTTTCATCCAGGCGCAGCTTTGTATGGGTCTGTATGCTGAGGCCATGACTGAGCAACTAACACACACAGTCATGCTGAGGCCAAGTTAGGTTTAAGCAGAACTCACTCTCCCACTTCATCTGCAAAGAAGTTCCTCTTAAACCACCCAGATCCAAACAGAAAAAAAAAAAAAATCCTTTTCTTGAAGTGCGTGGAGGCTTGACACTAGGTGTTGGAGGGTGGCCTGTGAGGTTAGGTCAGATCCTGGGTCACTGTCGGGGAGGGATGAGGCACCATAAGCGTTGGGGAGCGAGTGTCTGGCTCCCTTGTCACCACAAAGCCTGTGGTTTCCAACCCTGTCTGCATCCCCGTCCTGCTAAACAACAGAGGGAGAGAAAACAGACATGCACACAGGCGGACACACACACACACACACAGCCTTCAGAGGAAGTAAAGCACCAGATGTTCTGGGTTTCCTGTTCGATGCTTCCACAGCTGGTCGGGTCTGTGGTTGTGGTTTGTCTGTCTCGGGCTCATGTGAGAGACAAAAGCTGGGCTGACGGGAAACCTCCCCTCTCGGCCCACCCCCTTCCTCAGCTCTAACTGATCAGTCACACGGAAACCTGGCAGGTCAGACATTTCCTGAAACACCCAGAGCCTGGATTCTCCCAGGAGGAGGCTGAGTCCCCCCAGCCCTGCAGAGCAACCCTGGGGCTGATGGTCAGTTAGATCCTGGGGACAATAGAAATCTCTCTCCAAATGTACTATTGATATAGATCTGCATTGCTGCAGAATAGAATGAAGCTGCAGAATAGAATAGAATGACATTGAGTTGCCACATTCACTAAGCCAGTGTCTGACATAGAATAACCATTCAGAAACACTCAGCATATGGAGGAATGAATGAGGGACAGGGATCTTCATCTTGGGGTTCAGTTCAATTGCTCAGTTGTGTCTGACTCTTTGCCACCCCATGAACTGCAGCACACCAGGCTTCCCTGTCCATCACCAACTTCTGGAGCTTGCTCAAACCCATGTCCATCAAATTGGTGATGCCATCCAACCATTTCATCCTCTGTCGTCCCCTTTTCCTCCTGCCTTCAATCTTTCCCAGCATCAGCATCTTTTCCAATGAGTCAGTTCTTCGTATTAGGTAGCAAAAATATTGGGGTTGAATACTTTGGGGGTTGAATCTACAAGTCCTGGCTCACCATCATGTGCCATAAGTGGCTCTAGATTCAAATTGACAATGGTTTGAAGCAGCACTGTGCTACTGACTTACCACAAGTCATTTAACTTCTCTAGGCCCACTTTCCTCATCTGTAAAATGGAGACAGTAATATCTATTGTCTATAATATGCCAAGAACCTGCCTGCCACTGCAGGAGATGTAAGAGAGCCAGGTTTGATCCCTGGGTCGGGAAGATCCTCTGGAGGAGGGCATGGCAACCCACTCCAGAATCTTTGCCTGGAGAATTCCATGGACAAAAAATTCCATGGAGGAGCCTGGCAGGCTACAGTTCAGGGGGTCATGAAGAGCCGGACACAACTGAGCCACTGACACTTTCACTTTCACTAAAGATCATCACCACATTATAAGGTAATGGCGATGCTTAAATGAGTTAATGTATGTAAACCACTTAGAATAGCTTCTGGCAGTTGTTAAGGGATGGATAAATATTAACTGTCATCAGTGTTCAATTACATTTGATTCTGACAGCAACCTAACTACAGATAGGCTCTGTGAGTAGTGCCATTTCACGGATGAGAAAACTGAAGCTCAGAGAGATGAAGTCACTTTTGCAAGTTCACCGAGGTAGTGAATAGTAAGACTGAGACTCCTCTCCAGCTCTGTCTGACTCTTTCTTGTGTGTGCATGTGTGCGTGAGGTTTCAACCGCCTCCTGCAGGTGCATTTTTTTCATCTCCTCCTGGGACCCCTCCTCCCACTCCCACTGCACAAGGCCCAGCCTCCTCCTGCAAACCTCCCTGCCTGCAGCCTCCAGCTGCATCCCTGCTTTCAGAGAAAGGTCTTGCTTCCCTGCAGAAATGTACCTTGAAGAGTGACGTCTTATAGATGATTGTGCCTAGCTGGGAATAATCAAAGAAATGGCTCATTGGGGAGAATTTCACAAATAGCAGCCTGGCCAGGAAGACATTTTGTTGTGGTGGTTTTGGCTGGGGAGGTGGTACTTTTCTGTACCCCTCAAATCCCATTACTCTGATGGTGGCTTCGTCTGACAGAAGAGGCAGTGGGATATGGTGTGAAGTGTTATGCTCAGATTTAGTGAGCATCATTATTGCTGGAGGAGCTCTGAAAATGCAGATTCTCAGGCCCCGCCTTAGAGTCTGTGAGCTACATTTTGAGAAATACTGGTGGTGTGGCAAGAGGCGCAGACCTAGGTTCAAGTTCCTTAAATAGCTGTGCAACCTTAGGAGGATATTGACCCCTTCTGAGCTTCCGTATTCTCATCTTTAAAATAGGAATTAAGCCAATCCCACCCACCTCATGGGGGACCACCAGTGAAAGTGCTTCATTCACTATGCAATGGGAATGTGAGTGGTGACCATTTCTATGTTCATGCTCAACCAAGTGCTGTGGAGAAATTCAAAGGAAGGCACAGACCCAGGCCCAAACCTCAGAGAAGTTCCTTAAATCTTTGGTGAGACAGGGAACTGTGGGCCCCTGAGCGTAATCAATTCTTTGGTGAAGGCTGTTAGCCAGAAGGGGAGGAAGTATGCTTTTCCACCTCTGCTATACTGGTCTCTCCCAGTGAACAACATGACAAAGTGCACCAGAGCCTGAATCAGTCAGGGCATGCCAGGTAATGGAGCAGTAACGAACCAACACTGGGTCTCAGTGGCTAAACACAATAAGGGTTTCTTTTTCTCTCTCTTTTTAATATTTCTTTTATTTATTTGGCTGTGCTAAGACTTGGTTGCAGCATGTGGGGTATTCAGTCCTCCTTGTGACATACAGAATCTTTAGTTGCAGCATGTGAACTCTTACTTGCAACATATATGGGATCTAGTTCCCTGACCAGGGAATACACCTGGAACCCTGGCATTGAGAGCTCGGAGTTTTAGCCACTGGACACCAGGGAAGTCCCGAGGGTTTATTTCTTGATCACGCTGTATATCCCAGCAGATCGGCAGGTAGTTCTGCTCCACAAACTCATGCAGGGACCCAGGCAGAAGATGTTGGGCAGAAGTATGGAACACTCTTCCATTGTCAGAGTGGACTAGAGATGGGGGCCTGGGCAATTTACTGCCTCAGCCTGGCCATGGCATGCATCCCTTCTGCTCAATTTCATCAGCTGAAACTAGTCAGATGCACAGCTGGGAAAGGCAGGGGAGCAAATGGCATGTTTGGGGAGCACTGTTTACCCAATTGTAGGCTAATGTAAGTGTTCTGAGCACATTTAAGGTAGGCTAGGCTAAGTTATGGGCTTCCCAGGTGGCCCAGCGGTAAAGAATTCACCTGCCAAGCAGGAGACGTGGGTTCAAACCCTGGGTCGGTAAAATCCCCTGGAGAAGGAAATGGCAACCCACTCCAGTATTCTTGCCTGGAGAATCCCATGGACAGAGGAGCCTGGCGGGCTATGGTCAATGGGGTCACAAAGAGTTGGACACAACTTAGTGAATAAACAGCAGCAGCAGCGGCAGCAGCACTGTTTTTGCTGCAGGGTACTTCCTGCGTAGAGTAGGGAGATCTGAAAACTCTTGCCCAGATTTCCACCAAGGGCACAAAGACCAATGTTTCTCAGAGAGAAAAGGAAGGAAGATTTCTCTGTCTAGTTGCTTCTGCACCCTACATTCTGAGAAGCTCAGCTTTCCTGTCTGGTAGAGCCGAGTTTTATCTGTTTGAGAATGTAGTAGTTGTTTTGTTTTGTTTTCCCCTCTCTCTCCTTCCTTCTTCTTATTCTTGCCTGCCCTCAAAACATGGGAAGAGAAGTAGTCTGCCTCAAGCAGCCAGCAGTCTGGCCCGGCTCCCTGGGCTGGAGGGGAGCCATCTCCCAGCAGGCTGAGAAATACCCCAGAGCTCCCAGGGTCCTGTGGGCGCTGGGTGGGAGGCTGACACAGCCTAGAGGCGGTGTGCCTGGCCGCCAGCCCCACCCTCCTCGGAGTGCTCTGCACAGAGCGGAGCTGAAAGCAACCCAAATATCTTCGGAAATGGAGAACGCTGGACTGGAACCCAGCAATTTGGGGCAGCAGTTTTTCTGGAGCACGTAGCTGGGGAATTTGCCTTGAGAAATCTCTCATTCCTCGAGTGTTGGTGGATAAATGGCACTTATTTGTTTAACCTCAAATCAAGCCACAGTCCCCATTTTCTGGGCTGCTTTGAAAGGGTTGTTTTAAAAGAGCTGAACAAGCTGAAAATCACGGGTCTGGTTGTTGGAATGGCTTTGCAGAAAGTGGTGGGCTCAGAAAGTTCCTGAATTTTCTGTAGAATGTGACTGGCAGTGGTGGGGTGTGGGTAGGGAGGTGGGGAACACAGCCTGGACCCTTATCCTGCATATTGACCGGACTGTTTCTATGAGGAGTCCAGCCTTGTCAGGGTCAGTGTTCTCTTGACCCTGGGTTCCCTTGACCAGAGTTTCAGGTGGGAGGAAGCCCTGGAAGATTCCTTTCTGAAATCTGTTCAGGCAGCTTTGTATAAAGTGGAGTTCTTCTGTTCTTTCTGTCTGACCAGTCTCTACTTCCTTCCCCTCTTTCATAACAGAAGGTGTTTGTTCTCCACACTCCCGCCCCCGAGAAAGAATTCTTTTTTTAAATTAAATTTATTTCTTTTTAATTGAAGGATAATTGCTTTACAATATTGTGTTATTTTCTGCCATTCCTTAACTTGAATGAGTCATAGGTATATTATCTGTCCTCTCTGTCTTGAACTTCCCTCCCCATCCCACCCCTCTAGGTTGTTGCAGAGCCCCAGTTGAGTTTCCTGAGTCATACAGCAAATTCCCATTAGCTGTTTTCCCATTGGCTATCTGTTGGAGGGACTGATGCTGAAGCTGAAGTTCCAATACCTTGGCCACCTGATGCAAAGAACTGACTCATTGGAAAAGACCCTGATGCTGGGAGAGATTGAAGACAGGAGGAGAAGGAGACGACAGAGGATGAGATGGTTGGATGCCATCACTGACTCAGTGGACATGAGTTTGAGCAAGCTCCGGGAGTTGGTGATGGACAGGGAGGCCTGGCGTGCTGCACTCCATGGGGTGGCAAAGAGTCTGACATGACTGAGCAATTGAGCTGAACTGACTGGTTTATTTTACATACAGTAGTGTATATGTTAGAGCTTACCTGGTGGCTCAGTTGGTAAAGAATCTCCCTGCAATGCAGGAGACCCAGGTTTGATCCCTGGGTTGGGAAGATCCCCTGGAGAAGGAAATGGCAGCCCACTCCAGTATTCTTGCCTGGGAAATCCAGTGGACAGAGGAGACTGGTGGACTACAGTCCATGGGGTCACAAAGAGTTGGACATGACTGAGCAGCTAAACCACAGTGTATGTTTCCATGTTACTCTCTCCATACATCCCACCCTCTTCTTCTGCTGCCCCCCATGTCAATAAGTCTGTTCTCTATGTGTCTTCATTCTGTGATAAGTCGCTTTAGATGATGGTTGAAATTGGCTGTGGTGGGAGCACAGGTGGACCTCAGAGATATTGCAGGGCTTTTTTCCTCTGCCAGACTACCACGATAAAGCAAATAGCACAATAAAGCAAGTCACAGGCTTTTTGGCCGTGTTCTTAGGGCTGTCAGAGAAGACCATTTCTTTCCCTTGGCATTGCTAAAGAGGTAGGATGTCCACAGTCATCTTGCCAGACACAGGGAGAGAATTTCTTAGAGATCGAGGGAGCATAGGACACTCATGATGTCACTTGAATGCCTAAATCCAGCCATACCTGAAGCTGGTGTATTCCTGAATGTTCCAGTTGCACAGATAAATATTCCTGTTTCTTTGCCTAGGTAGCATGAATTGAGCTCCTGCCATCTTTCAATAAAAATACTATGAATAATACAAATGGGTCACTCATAGCCAATTAAATAGATTAGATGTTTGTCTTGATTGTGGTGGTGGTTTCATAGGTGTATTTATCTGCCACAATTCACTGAATTGTACACTTTGAGTGGGTGCATCTTATTGTAAGTAAATTATATCTCAATTAAGATGCTACAAATTTAAAAAAAGAGGGGTATGTGTGTGGTGGGTGGGAGTGGCTTTTTCATATCTAATTCTGCTAGGTAAAGACTCAGATAGGAAAAGAAGATGAAACCAGAAGGATGGTTCTGTAACTCACACCAGCTGGTTCCTCCTTCCACCTGTTACCGTGATTTTTATCCACCCACCCATTTACCAGGGGCTCCCTTGGTGGCTCAGTGGCAAAGAATCCACCTGCAATACAGGAGACCACCTGCAATGCAGGAGACATGGGTTTGATCCCTGGGTTGGGAATATCCCCTGGAGAAGGAAATGGCAACCCACTCCAGTATTCTTGCCTGGAAAATCCCATGGATAGAGGAGCCTGACGAGCTACAGTTGCAAGAATCAGACATGACTGAGTGACTAAACCATGAACCACCACCACCATTTACCACCTGGGACCTCTTAGAGAAGAAGAAGTAAGGATGGAAGGACACAGCCCTCTTGAAGGGGGAAGAAGCAGAACTGAAGTTGGGTCTTCTTTCTTCCGCCTGGAAACCAGCCAAGTTACCGTGACCCTTCATCCAGTGATAAGAGCCTTACAGAACAGCAGTGTGACAAAAGCAAATGGGCAGCCCAGCAGAACTTCACCTGCTGGTCCTTTGAGAGGGAGTTGAAACAAACACAGTATGGACTCATTCTCCTTTTCTGTCTCCAGGGTATGGGAGAGCATGAGCTCCAGGTTGCAAATAAGGAAAAGCCTGGATCAGGCCTCATGCTTCAATCCCACCCCTGGGTCCTGGCTCAGGGCCCTAAGGCTGCTGTTAACTCCGAGCACCTGGGACAGCACTCTGTTTCCCACACTGCCTACTTAAGTCTCGAGGGGAGTTAAGAAATAATATCAGGACTTCCCTGGCGGTCCAGTGGTTAAGAATCCACCTTGCAAAGCAGGGGACACAAGTTGAATGCCTAGTCTGGGAAATAAGATCCCACATGTGTGGTAGCAACTAAACCCGCATGTCGAAACTGCTGAAACCCATGAGCCACAGCTAGCGAGTCCATGCGCTACAACATGGAATGTGTACAATATGGAAGATCCCACAAGATGCAACAAAGATCCTGTGTGCCACATCTAAGACCTGAAGCAACCAAATAAACAAATAGATATTTTAAAAAATAAGTAATATCAATGACAGCAGCTACTTCTACTTCTTTCCTAGGAGACCATCTGAGTGCCCACCCCATGACTGACTTCATAAGCACAAGATGACTTCATCCTCCAAATCCTGAAGGTAAGTTCTCTTAGCAGTCGCCATCATACAGCTGAGGAAGCTGATGCTCAGAGAGGTTAAGTCACTTGCAGGGGTCACACAGCTAAGGAGAGGCATGGCTGGGCTTCAAACTCAGGTCTGTCTGGTCCCAAACCTGGCTTCCAAGCTGTACAGAGTGCAAAGCAGCGTAAATGACATTTGTCTTTAGCACCCAGCAACACTGAATTCATAATCAGCAGGCCCACACAAGGTGAGCCATCCTGGGCAGTTGGATATCAAATGCCTGCCGCCAGTGTGATTGCCCACTGGGCAATGGCCAGGGTGGAGATTTCCCAGTCTCTGGCATGGATCCCCACCTGCAGGCCATGGGAAAGTCCTTGGAAGATTGCTGGGGCCAGAGGCGGGCCTCCCAGGTCTGCAGACGGGCTGCAGATCAACCTGCGATGGGCTCAGGACTCCATAGGAGTGGCTGGGCGCTCGTCTTCCCCTGGCTGAGGGCATCTCTCCAAGAGTGGCAAGAGAGCTATTTCAGGACAGGCAGGGGGCCTCAGTCCAGTCTGCCCCAACATGCGCCCCTCAGATGACTGCCTGGCCCCATAGAGCGAAAGGGCTGAGCCAACAAGAACCCCACAGCCATCTGGGGCTCCCGGCAGGATGGACACGGGTGTGGCCCCTGTGCCCGGTTCACACCGGTCACACTCGGTTCCGGTCCCCTGATGCTCCAATTGGAATCACCTCCTTTCCCACCGCCACCCTGTCCACAGAAGCACTGCTCAAGGAAGGACTCGCCTGGGCTGAAATTTTGGCTGGGTTCCAGGGAGCTGGCTGGGTCTGATTGGGTGGCGGGGATGGGGGAGGGGGAGGAGGTAACAGGAAGAGGCTGCAGGTGTGGAGGGAGAGGGAGGAGGTGGAGGTGCACTGTGGCCAAGTGGTCAGGGTGGGGTGTGGACAGACAGGATAGGGAACGATGGAGAAGAAAGGGGCTCTGAGGCCAGAAAATGGAGGTGGGCATCGTGCATCCCCGGACTGGAGGAAGAAAAGCATCAGAATGTCTAGAGCAGAGAGGCACAGTGGAGTGGGGTGTGTGTGTGTGTGTGTGTGTGTGTGTTAGTCATTCAGTTGTGTCCAACTCTATGTGACCCCATGGACTGTAGCCCGTCAGGCTCCTCTATCCATGGGATTCTCCAGGCAAGAATACTAGAGTCAATTGCCATGCCTTCCTCCAGGGGATCTTCCCGACCCAGGGATTGAACCCAGGTCTCCTGCATTGCAGGCAGACTCTTTACCCTCTGAGCCACAAGGGAAACCTGAGGGGAGTCATAAAATAGTTACAAAACAATATTGATCAAAGCCATTGGGCGGGAGGGGCTGAGGGGTCCCCAGTTCGAGGGCGGAGATGCCCCAGTTTGGGGATAAGTGCTGTCTGGGTGTGTCTGGCTGGCAGGAAGCGAGGTAGGGCCAGGGTGCTGGGGTTTGGCTCCAGTGTCTGTGGGCGCAGAAAGCAGCTGCAGGGTGCTCAGCCCCAGGGCCCCTGGGCTGGCCTGGCAGCTAGACGTCTGAGGTGTTCGTGTGGTGAGGATGTTTAACCGTCCGCTTGCAGTCCATGTGACTTGCATAGCACTCAACCTGCTCAGCCTTTAGCACACGTTATGTCATTTAATCACCCAAGCCTCCTGCAGACAGGGAAAGAGGCCACAACCCTGGTCTCCTCCCAGGTAACGAGTGGAGGGACCAGGGTTGGGACCTGGGTCTTTCCTCTGGGTATATCACCTTATGTCCAGGGACCTGGGTCTTTTCTCTGGACATGTCACCTGGTGTCCAGGGACCTGAGTCTTTTCACTGGACATGTCACCTGGTGTCTATGGACCTGAGTCTTTTCTCTGGACATGTCACCTGGTGTCCGTGGACCTGGATCATTCCTCTGGGCGTGTTACATTGTGTCCAGGAACCTGGGTCTTTTCTCTGGGCATGTCACCTGGTATCCATGTCCTGTCACCTGGTATCTATGGACCTGAGTCTTTTCTCTGGACATGTCACTTGGTGTCCGTGGACCTGGATCATTCCTCTGGGCGTGTCACATTGTGTCCAGGAACCTGGGTCTTTTCTCTGGGCATGTCACCTTGTGTCCAGGGACCTGGGTCTTTCCTCTGGGCATGTCACCCTGTGTCCATGGAGGGGGCAGGAGCTGAAGTGGGGATGGGGTACAACTGCTGGGGACAGTGGATGTCGGCCAGCTGGTCCCATTGGCCAGGACCCCGCTTCTCTCGTGAGTCAGCATGGTAAGGTGTTCTGAGTCAGTGGGAGGGTGGACAGGGAGTGTGAGTGAAGGTGGGAGTGAGTGTGTGTGGGTAAGTGTGAGCATGCCGCTGTGAGGTGTGTGAGTGTGGGATGGCCCTCTGTTCTGGGGCTGGACCAGTCAGGAGACAGGAGCCCCTTGGAGTCTGGCAGGGACAGGAAGTTGCTCACCCTCCATGCATGCAGCAGCCCTCCTGGGCAGGCACAGGATGCTGTGGTCTCTGCAGAAAAATGGGAACCAGGGAGGGAGTAGAGGAGGCAATGGCTGAGAGGGTGGGATGGGACATAGGCCTGGAGAAGATGGGGGAGTCCAGGGGATGGGGAGCTTGAAAGGTGAGAAACTGGAAATCCTCCAAAACACTGAAGAAAGAGGGGAGGGCTTTCTCTCATGTCCCTGGAGATTCACTGGGAGACAAATTAAGTCCCTGCCCCCCTGGAACTGACTTGCCCCTCTGTCAGTCTGGCCTCTCACAGCTTTCTTACCTCCTGGGTTCCTCTCCATGTGCGCTAACTGCCAACCCACACCCTGGGGCCCCAGCTCTGGGAGTGTGCCACCCTCTGCTCTGTCAGCAGGAACTCTGCCCATCTTGGAAGACATAGCTGATGCTTCATGGCTGAGAAGCCTTCCCACTTGTGGCGCAAGGGGTTTCTCCCTCGTGGTCCAGGCAGCTCATTCCTAAGACCTTAGCTCCTCAACTCTGCTGGGGAGTCTTTTAATTCTCCTCATCCTCTGTGACAACCTGTCAAAAGCGGCAGGGCTAGACTCACAGGGTTTTATTTACTGCTAACAATAAAAACCATGCATGTTGGACTTCCTTGGAGGTCCAGTGGTTGAGGCTCCATGCTTCCACTGCAGAGGGTGTGGGTTCAACCCCTGGTCAGGGAACTAAGATCCCTCATGCTATGTGGTGTGGCAAAAAAAAAAAAATAATAATAGTAAAAACTATGCATGTTGGGTGGATGCGGTAGGTAGGGGGATCGTGGTGGAGGCAGGAGACATCGCATTCCTGCCATGTCCCAGAGGAGCCCCATTCCCATTTTTCTTTGTTAGGATTAAAGATTGGGGAATTGGGAATGAGACTAACTTGGTTCAGGTTCACCCTGTTGCTTCACGTGTGGCCGCCTTTTACACTGTAATCCCATATCTATAAATGTGAGAATTTGAAGACAGTAATCTCCAAAAAAATGAAAGACTTTTCCATACAAAGATGTTCACAGCAGTGTTATTTATAATCGTGAGTTGGAAACTACTTAGATATGCTAACATGGGAGAATGGCCAGATGAATAATGGTATTAACATTATCTACTGCATAAATATTAGATAGACATTTTGAAAGATGGTTATGGTGATTCTGTGGTCATATGGAAAAGCTTTGTAGTAATCTAAGATGATCATGGATATGTTAAACAAACAGCCTTACATCCAAAATGTCTGCATGGGAGAAACAGTGAAAGAAAACACGAGATGTTAATGGTTGAAGTGCTTTGGTGATTTCTGATTTCTCCTTTCCACTCTCCTGTAACAAGCATGAACACTTATATCAAGATTAATTATACTTAAAAGTATCTTTTTTCTTATCTTGAGAGTCTTTTTTTTTAAAAAATAAAATGACACCAAGAAGAAAATAAGCATGTTAACATTTTGTGTGTTTCCTTCCAGTCCTTTCTCCATGCATATTTCCACATCTATAAATAGACACATAGTTGACTAGAAAAGAAAAAATCCCAAGGAATTTTGGAGGCGTTCTCTCTGGGCTTGGAGGTCCCAGTTCCCTGGAAGTTTCCCTGTGGTTGTGGGAAGAGGTAGAGAGCATTGGCCCAGGCTCCTGGGGTGAGAGCTGCTCCCTGCATGGAGTCTCAGGTCAGAGTGAGCCCCCCACCGTCAACCTGAGAGTTGCCCCTGTACCCTGGGGAGCCTGCTTGTTGATGGGCTGCCCCCAGACGCATCTTCTCCATTCTGGCCTCTTAATCCTGGTCCCGTCCCCTCCACTGCCTTTTTAAGCTCCTTGAAGCAACCAGTTTGCTAATTAATCCTGACCTTTTCAAAGTCTGAAATTCCTAACCAGTGGGAGACTTCCCCTTTTCAAGCTGGTTCTGGCAGTCATTGGCCACAGGGGGGTGGGGGTGGGGGGTGGGAGAGATGGGTTTCCACCTCCATTCCATGTGTTGGCCAATCAATGGCGGGTTTGGCCCTGGAGGTTCGGTGGGGCCTGGACTTGCTGGGCCTTGCCCTGCCTCACCCTGCTTAGGTGGGGACATTCGCTCCAGGGTTCTGTCAAGGCCACCACCCTGGTCCCCTGGAATCTGCTAGCAAGATTCAGGTGACTGTTGACTCATACACCCCCAACAGACTGGGCCAGCTCACCCCTCCCAGGCCTGGGACCATCTCCACGCCCTTGATCTTAGGAGAGTTGCTGCCCTCACTCTTCATGGAAATGCTATGCACTCTGGGGAGGTGGGGGGGCAGGAGGGAGATGGGGGATATGGAAGCCCTGTTCTGTGCAGCCTGCCCCCACAGAGGACTCCTACTCTCCACCCTCACCCCATCCCACCCTGTGGCCACATGGGTTCCATGAATAAGATCCTGTGATTCAGAACTTCTCTATTCCCCCAACCTCCCATCCTGCTCCCCTCCCGCCCCACCACTCCCAGCCTCTCAGTTGCTTTCTGATAACCACAGCTGGGTTTCTGTCTTGGTCAGAGGTGAACATGAATCAAGAGTTAC